GAGGCGAGAACAGCAGTAGTAGACGAGATCTCCATAAATACACACGCGGCATGGAAGGAACTCAAGCAAATGCTGGCAAAAGAACCAGAAGAGACCAAACGAAATGAACTAGCAGCGATCTTCTCTGCAGTATGGGTGGACAACACAGAGAGACTCTGCGATCTGGACCAACACAACCAGTTAAGATGGAAACCCTGGCTGAAAACAGAACACCAATGGCAACGTCTACCACGTCACCACTTCGTCTTCCCCTTTCAACCACCTAACTTCATCCTGGTCTAGGACCTCACCACCCTCACCTTAACATCACAATCGCCCCGGCCACTGTCCCCCCCCMCCCCGCCCCTTTTTTTCCTCCCCCGCTTCCTGTGCCTCATCCTTCTTCCCCCTTCCTCCTTCCTCCTTATTCCTGTTGTCCTCTCCTCCTCCCTCCTCCTCCTTCCTCCCACACCTGCAAGCTGTATGTCGGCCAAGCATGGACTCCCCTTCCTGACTTGAAGCAGATCTACCGGGAACCAAGAGGAACAGCACCCGGTTCTGGTCATGTGGAGTCATCAAGCGCACTGGGGAAAGTAAACGGAAAGGAAGCTGGTGAATTCGTGATACACAACGATGGACAGTCAAGTGCACATGAGTGGGCTCCCCAGTGCAATACAGGTTTTTAAGCCGGACTGTGTACAGTACTGAATACTCCTACAGTCACAAGAATTGAGGATAGATGGGGTCCTAATAATGCCTCAGAACCTGTGAGATTATGCGAAGCGATGTGACATAAATGTGCCATAAATGTGGAGAGGGAAGGTCAAATTTTCTGAAAGATGAAGGCATAGGGTTTAAGGGTTTAAGGGTTAAGAGGGCAAGGCAGGTCGAAGTTACACCGGGTGGGAGGGAGAGAATAGGGTGGGGGGAAGCCACCCCACCCTGATCATACAAGAGTACACCAGAGAACACCAGGATGAGCTTTAGAATGGTAATAAACACCACGGGTATTTGGGAGGGAGGGAACAAGGGGTGGGGGAATGCCACCCCACATCTGCAGATTACAGCCCGGGTAATATGAGGAAAGACGGGCACCAGGTTTTAAGGACTTATCATAACTGATCACATAAGATCACAACAGATCACAACAGACAACAGACAACAGATCACAACAGATCTCAACAGATCACAACAGACACAACAGTCACAACAGCATGATGTAATTAGCAGATAGATAACAGATAGAGAGTAATCGACAGTAATGGTTACAACAACAACAATATTTCTATATTTGATAACTCGTAGGAAAATAGGCTGGGCTGCTTACCATCTGGCCCTTGAATGGATACTGACATATCATGCTCACATACATAGTTTACATCGTACACACCACAGAACACCAGGATGAGCTTTAGAATGGTAATAAACACCACGGGTATTTGGGAGGGAGGGAATAAGGGGTGGTGGAATGCCACCCCACATCTGCTTTACACTAACACAATACACTTCACACTGGTACAGTACTGCACATGACCACATAATACAGCCCGGGTAATATGAGGCAAGACGGGCACCAGGTTTTAAGGACTTATCATAACTGATCACATAAGATCACAACAGATCACAACAAACAACAGACAACAGATCACAACTCATCACAACTGATCACAACAGATCTCAACAGATCAGAACAGACACAACAGTCACAACAAGCATGATGTAATTAACAGATAGATAACAGATAGAGCGTAATCGACAACAACAATATTTCTATATTTGATAACTCGTAGGAAAATAGGCTGGGCTGCTTACCATCTGGCCCTTGAATGGATTCTGACATATCATGTTCACGTACATTGTTAATGTTGTACACAGGGATGCTGGACCCGATTTCCAGCAGGTGCTGCTCCCCACGAATAGATGGAGCCCCCCGACAGTGATAGTGGTGCCTGCTCTTAACAGCACCCCTAGCACCCGCTCGGGCAGTTTCTCTTCAAAAAAAAAAAAAAAAAAAAAAAAAAAAAAACCCACGAACTCTGCGGGTTCCGAACACCCTGAGCGACCGTGAACATTCGGGGGGGGGGGGGGGGGTCGGCACGGTAACATTGCTTCTGTGAGTATTCGCTCTGACAGTGCCTAAGCATACTGGGCTGAGATTGGAGCCCAACTCATGTAACTACCCCCTTGGCCTCCTAGTTAGTTACATGGGCAGGGACTTAGATTCGGCCTGGTAGGCAGTAGGTACTGCGTAATGGACCCCAAACCCCCACCTCCAAACAAGACAAAAGCGAGGAGTTTGTGAGGTAGAACACACGAGGGAATTGGCAGCATGCAGCAGCGCTGAGGCAACATGTGCAACCGGCAATCGCTCGGAAAGGAAGAACGCAGTCTAGCAACAGCTGCCTGGCCTGCACATGCTATAGGTGTGCGGAGGCAGCACAGCCCAGCGGGAGCGGGTGGTGATGAAGGACTGGATCAGGAGCATAGTTGGGGCAAGTTGATACACGTGGATACTTTCCTGATGTTGACCGATGCGCGCCTCATGTGATTGGACTCTTCAGCAGCATCTGGTGAGAGGATGGTGGAAGAAGAGAGTGAGAAGGAGTAGGCTGGATTGTCCGGGTTGCGTAGGAGAGCAATATAGCGGACACATCAAATTTTTCAAAAATTCCAAACAAAGGGCTGCTAAATTTGCCTCTGTGTCTGCCTACAAATGATTGGTTGATAGATCGTTCCAAACTACAACAGAGAGGACTGGCTACGCCATGGTGCAAATCCTGTCTTTTAGCTTTTCCTAGTAGAAAATTCAGAGAAACTATTAAACATATATTTATGCAATGTCCTGGATTAGTACTGCTATGGAGAAGATGGGATTGCATCTGGGGCATGGTCCCACTAGCAACGGGATAGGATAGAAACGAGTTTGTGGGGCAGTTGAGTGACCCATATCCTGCCGTGCAGTACTCGTGATCCCACGGTCAGTATTTTACTTGTTTTACCCAAAAAAGTAAGGAGATCTTTGTTCCCCTCCTCCTCTCCTCAACACTGGGCATGCCCGTGCAAAGAAAGCTTCCCGCCAGAATCTTTTCAATCGGTTGGGGGTGTGGCCAACCCCAAA